AATAGCATGGTCAAATGGTGGTTATGTTGCAAGTTTCCATGAAATCTCCATACTTACTTCTAGATTGGCTACACCAAATTACAGTCCCACAAGCAATGTATGAGTGTGCCTTTCTCCCTACATTCTGGCCAACTTTTATTGTTGTTTGTAATCGTGATGGCTGCCATTCTGATGGGAGTGACAATCTTAAGTGCAAGAGGTAAAATCAAGAATCAATAATGGGATGGACAGACACTAAAAACTTCTCACAAAGGAAACAAGCAATAACGTGATGAGAGATTCTACAGAATGGGAAAAAGCCTTTACCACACAAACCTCAGATAGAGCACTAATCTCTAGGATATATGAAGAACTTAAAAACCTGAACACCAAAAGCCAAATAACATAATCAATAAATGGGCTAAGGAACTGAATAGACACTTCATGGAAGAAGAAATAGAACCAATCCACACACATTGGAAAAAAAGTTCATCATTTCTAACAATGAAAGAAATGCAAATCAAAGCTACTATACGATGTCATCTCACTCCAGATTGGTAATGTATCAAAAATATAGTCAATAACAAGTTTCATGAAGGTTGTGGGAAAAGAATTTACACTCATATATTGCTGGTGAGACTGCAAATTGTTCCAGCCACTATGTGAAGCAGTATGAAGATACCTCAGAAAACTTGGACTAGAAGCACCCAGCTATCCCACTCCTCAGTTTATACCCAATGGACTTAAAATCAGCACACCAGAGTGTTGCAGCCACATCAATTCTTAGAGTGGCTCATTTCTCAATAGCTAAACTGTGGAACCAACCTAGATGCCCTTCAACAGATGAATGGAGAAAGAAAATGTGGTACATATACACTATAGAATATTATTCAACCTAAAAGAAGAATGAAATTATGGCATTTGCAGGTAAATAGATAGAACTAGAGAATATCATGCTAAGTGAAATAAGCCAATCCCCCAAATTTAAAAGCTGAAATTTTCTCTGATAAGCTATTGCTGATCCGTAATGGGGCTGGGAGGATCAGGTAGAATCAGAAAGGCACTTTGATTGTTTTGAGAGAACTGAGGGGAGAAGTGGGGCTGTGGGGATGGGAAGGGCAGTAGAATGAGACAGACATTATTACCCTGTATACATGTATGATTACACTACTGGAGGGACTCTGCCACATGTACCACCAGAGGAAGAAGTGGTGCTCAATTTGTGTACAATCTGTCAAAATGCATTCTACTGTTAAAAAAAGAAAAGAAAGAAAAAATAAAGAAAAAGACCCAGGCTGGGGATGTGGCTCAAGCAGTAGCGCGCTTGCCTGGCATGCGTGCGGCCCAGGTTCCATCCTCAGCACCACATACAAACAAAGGTGTTGTGTCTGCTGAAAACTAACCAACTAACTAAATAAATATATATTAAAAATTCTCTCTCTCTCTCTCTTTCTCTCTCTCTCTCTTTCTTTAAAAAAAAAGAAAAAGACCCCAATATTTAGAAGATAAAAAATTGATTTGGATTCTCAAAGCTCTCCCATGTCACAATCCATAAACAACTGACTCCATTATTTAGGTCTTGAGGAAAGCGTGAACATCATGGCAGAAGAGTGTGATGGAAAAATTCAGTTCAAGACATGATCACAGAGAACTGGGGACTTAAGCTCTTCTGGGTTCTGTTGTTTGAACCTCTAGGGGGCATTCTCTGGAGTAAAAGGTGGCAGTGACAGGTCCACTCACCCCTGTGCACCCCTGTTGTGTCTGTTGGTGCCCTCCTTGTTCTGCAGGCCTAGAATGGAGCAGGAGATTTTGGAACCTGCTGGTTGCTGCCTGGGAGGAGAAGCTGAACTCTGAAGGCAAGGCTGACAAACACTGGTGCTACCACCAGGAGAATTAGCTCTACCACATAGAGACCTGGGCCCCGTGGGAAGTGCTTCCTCTGCTTACACCAAAGAAGCTGTGGACACCAAGAGCTAGATGATCCACATAGGACTCAGATCTGGCTTCTGCTTCTGCTGGTACTAGTGCCCAGCATATTCATTGGCAAGGCTGTCTCCAGAGCTGACTATGGTGGCCATCTGTCCCAGAGCAACTGACACCAAGGCCAGCTGCGTCAGCTCAAAGACCAACATAGAGCCTGTAAGAGAGGAGACAAGAGGGTGCCTGAGGATAAAGGTCCCATTTTAACATTCCATCCTGAGGCTCTGCCTGGGCTAAGTCAGGGTATGGGGTGGGTTCTATTTAGGGTCCTGTAAAGGGTGAGACTAGGGACAGGACTGACCATGTCATCTGTGCAGAGAAAGATGGAAGTAGGATGGGGAGCCAGGCCAAGTTGGAAATTTCCCAGAGCTCAAATACCTGATGTCCAAAGCACACCTGGTCCCCTCAAATCATCTTATGCTCTCTCATAATTCTGGGAGCAACTAGCACTTGGTGATAAGGCAAACATTTTCCTCTCATGGAGCAGCTAATTCAGGACTACTGGGGAGCCTTCTTGTGAGCACTGGGGTTCAAGAAAAAGCAAAGAGGAGTGTTGGAGACCCAACTTCCTCCATCTGCTGTTTTGGGCATAGAATCAGTCTTAGTCTTTAGGGACCCAGGTCAGAGGTTCCTTCCAGGAATTGACCCATGACTACTGTGCTGACCCTACTGGGCTATCATATACCCTAGGCCCAGCTCAGTAAGGCTGTTGACCTTCCTGAAGCCTATCCAGGATGGAGCTGGGCAGCTGAGACCACTGATAAAATCTTACTCAGTAGAAAACCCCCCTTGTCCTCCTACACTCTGGGTCACCCCATTAACTTGTGTCCACTGACTGCAATTTTGTTGCAATGTGACACTGCTAAACTTCATTTTATTTTTGAAATGAGTTAATAACTGGCATTATCTCTATTAAGCAATCTCCTGCTTTTGTTGATTCTTCACATTATCTAGTGTAACTTCATAGATGGTGTCTGTTCCTCTCTTTTGGAGCCTCCTTACCACAGCAGACTGTCAACTGTCACTGGGAATTTCTTATTTTCTCCTCCCATTGCTTCAGTGTTGTACATAATAGTCCAAGTACCAAAAATCGGACTTGCCTAAGGAATGCACTGAATCCCCATGGTTTATGGGAATTATGTCAGCATTGAGGTTGCACAGAGCTAAGCTCTTAAGGGTAGTAAGGCATCTCTCTAATAAGAGGGATAATGTCATGAAACCAAAGAAGCCTTATGATCACAGCATTAACCAGAAGTAGATGAGATCCATGTCTGAAAATAATCACTTGGACTAAACAAGGAAACACATGTGGGCTCAGCAAGGGTGTATATATGGTGAATATTCAGCCAGTTCATCATACTGCCTGTGGGGGCACTGGCCTAAGTAAATCCTGGGTGGCTCAGGGCCTGGGAGGGTGTCAATATCTGTGCCCTTTGGCTGCTTAGTGTCTAGCAGCAGAAATACTCCAGATTTTAATCAACAAAAGTGCCCTGTTTGTGATCCTTTTTGTGTGTGTGATGTTTGATTTATTCATCTTTTAAAAAAGCGCTTATGGAGAAACAAGCAGATTTTTGTTTCTAAGAGTTAAAAGTACTCTTCAAAAAATTAAATAAAAGAACATGGATTACATGTTTTTCTCATAAGCACTTAAGTGAGTGAATGCACCACAAGGAAGCTATCACAGGCACATTGGGATACTCAGGACTGCAGCTTAACCCAGCTGATGCTCACTGTGGGTGGGGTCTGCACTTGGGTACAGAATTGGGTTTCTGTTTATACCCAGGGGTTCAGGAGGTGCACAAGACTCACATCCACATTAGAATACCAACAGCATCCTCTGGATTCATGGTAGACTCTGCCTCACAGCTGAATCAGAGTTGCAGAACATGAGGTGATTGGAGGACATCAGTGGCTAGTGTACACTGTTCCCTCAGTGATAATGGTTAACTTAGTACCACAGGGCAGAAGGTAAGAAAACCAAGGCAGCAACACCTGGCGTTGACTCAGGGGACCAGAGGCCATGGCCTACAACCAGCACCTTTTTGTCCCAGGAGGTGGGCTGCAGGAGGCATTGACAGCACTGGCTCTGTCAATGATCAAAGCACTGACTGGGCTGCAGCTCCTTGATGGCAGATGTGGGGATATGCAAGGCAAATGAGCACTGAGCTCTGGCCAAGTTGTCTGTGGAACATACCACCCAATTCCTGTACTTATTCACTTCTGTGCACAAATCAAGAAAAAGACAGTTAAAATGCACATGTGGTGTGATCTCTTAGAATCATGATCAAAAGAGGAGAAGAGGAGCTCTACTACAAAAAGAGGTTTTTGTAGATGTTAGAATCACCTAGTGACTGCAGGAGACTGGACACAGAAGGACTGGGCTGCAGAGAGAGAGCCACTGTCTCAATGGGGTCTCAAGAGTCACACACTGCCTGGTCAGTTTGCTTCCTAGTCACTGTGCTTAGAAACATTTTACTAATCCAAGGCTGTGATTACAATTTTAAGAGGAACTGCTCTGGCTGCTAGGGACCATCGTGTCTTTTATTAAAAGCATTGTTCTGGGAGTTTCTGAAAACCCTAGGGCATTTTAGTGCTTCCTAGAAGGCGGCCACTGCCTCCTCATTCTTGAGTATCTGAACTACCAACTGACCAGAGTTCCAGCCAGGGTGACTCTCACTGTGAGGTTAAGAATCAAACTGCATGTCTAGCAATGGCTCCTGAGTGGACCACAGAATGCTGCAGTTAGGAACACCCTCCAAAATCAAAAGACAACATTTTCCAAAAATATTGTTTACAGTAGCATAACTAATTTACAAAAAACTACAAAAATCATATTTACCAGAACACATCTGTTAAATAAAAACATCAAGTTAGTGTTCATTTGTGCAGGGCTATATACAAGGATTCTGTTTCTTGCTCTCCTTAGAACAATAGCCCATGCCCAATGGGGCCCAGCCTGGCAGGGCTGCAGAGAGGACAGCAGAGGCAAAACAGACCCTCCACACAGTGGCACCCTGCCCACCCTGTGTCCCCCCTCATGCAATGTTCCTGGCAGCCCCATGGAGGCCAGTGGGAAACAGGGCTCAGCCACCCCAGTCAGGGTGAGCAGTGACGACTCCTTTGAGCAGAGCATCCAGGCAGAAATAGAACCATTTCTGAATGAGAAAAGACAACATGAAAACAAAAGTGTGACAGGTGTGTAGATAAGAAAGCAGACTCAAATGAAAATTTTGCCTAATCCACACTGAAATCCACCCAGGAGCCCCCTGTCATGCGCTGCCTGCCACAGTCTGATGTAGCCTGTTAGGAGTTTGTCTTCCATGAACTTTCAGGTGAGCAAAGATGAGCACAGCACCCAGCAGCCTCAGGCCTAAGGTTACCACAGAGCTGAGAACCTGGGCAGCACAAGGCCTGCTGTCCCCAAATCCCAGGCAGCACAGAATAGGGGCACGGGCAATAGGAACTGCAGGGCTGACGGGAGGGGCAGTAGCTCCAGGACCCTGGACCCTCAGCACAAGGTCTCTAACTCCAGCAGTGTTGATGGCATCCAAGAGGCCATCCAGCTGTGTCAGTTGGAGAAAACCAGGAAGGAGGCCAGCAGAAATCTGCCACAAAGAGCCCAGCTCAGCAAGAAGGGGCTGAAAGTTGCTAGAAGCCTGGGCACCTCACTGAAAAGTACCTTCCCTGAAGCTCCCAGGAGAACACCCAGCAAGAGAAACTCAGCAGTCCCCAGTGACACAGACCTCTTCCCAAGGAGCTTGGACTCTTACCACCTCTCCAAGCCAACAAAGGATGCGACAGCTGCTGCACGTCCAGGAAACACCACCACCAGGAGGGAGCCTATGGAAGTGACCTTGGCGGGGCAGACACTTCTGCTGAGCTGATGTGCACTGAAGCAATCCAGGGATGTTTCGAAGACCACCCGCGGAGGGCAGCAATGGACCTGCATCTGTGAGCACACTCTTCTGCTCCTCCAATATGCCTTCCCATCTAAAGGGAACAGCAGCTTTGTGAACCATTATGACAGCATAGAGCAGGAGATCCAGATGTTTTTGGCTCTGAAGGCACATAGAGGAAGCCTGCTGCTGAACTGGAAGAGATGCCTTCCCACTCATCCCTGGCCTCTCTTTCCATGGCCACTCACATCATCCCTTAAGGCTCTTTGATCATGTTCAGTAACAGGTGGAGGAGGGGAGAGTTGGGCCCCTTCCCTGGATGAAGCATGCACAGCCTCCTTGAGGAGACTCTGCAGAGTGCTCTACAATCTTATTTGCCTCAGGGCCTCAGGTATGATCATGGGCCTGAACTTGCTTAAGTGAAAGGATCCTCTTTGCTTAAGGGATATGTATACACCTACCTTCCAGAGATCCTGTCACACCCGTGCTCTGTTTGCTTGAATTCATTTTTGCTGTCACTGTTCATCTTTTATTCCAATTAATAACTGTAGTGACAATCTTTTTCCTGCTGACATGCAGATGTACACTCTCTCTTGTTTTTTTTTTTTTGTGGCATTCTTTTGAGCAATGCCAAAAGAGAAGCATTGAGGCTCCACTGTTGTGGCTGTTGCCTTATGGTGTCCCCCTGACTCTCTTCAGTAATGAGCATCACACCACTTTCTTTTAGAGGCTAGCCCAGAAGCTGCAGGGCAATGAGTTCACCACCTTTACCTATGTACAAATCAGGAGAAATCATGGGGCACTAGTTTAAGATATCTCACAGCTAGGAAAACTTTTTTCAGCCGATCTCTTTTCCTCACCAAAATGGTAGTTATTGTTCTTTCTCTGTGGTACTTTTGCATGAACCCTATGTCCCCTCACATTTATTATTCCAAAGGAAAGCCAAGGAATAGAACCATCCTTGCCCTTTTCTATGTCACTTATCCTATTGTTATTTTTGGACTATGTTTTCAACAGAGTGACACAAAAACCCCTGCACCCCTCCTATCACCCACTTTTCAAAATCATGCCTATCTTACTTTTAAAAGTCTCTGCAAAAGGATTAAGAGTCACTTCTCCACGTTAAGTCAACTGGCTGGCATAAGGGTATTATTAAACATCTTTCTTCAATAAGATTACCAGCTTCAGCAACAGAGGGTTTAGCAAATGATGCACGAGTAAATATACACACTTAGATACATATCTAATTTGGACAGGCATTCCCCATACAGAACTTTTAAGGAACCACACAGGGCTGCCTCCTGGTTCTTGGTTTAAAATGGAATATATGGGAGGGACGCCTTCATATACTCATCTCTCTTGCCTGTCAGTACTGCTGAGGGACTCCTGGTGTATTGACAGACTATGTTTAGGAAGTTTGTACTATAATAGTCTTTCCCTAGTAGATTCATGTTGCACAGAGGAAGGAAAATGGCCAGAAGTCCCCTACATACAGGCTTTCTTTTTACTGAGGGATCAAAAAGATTTCTGTGCTATGTATAGCACTGATGATGCCTTTCTAACAATGGTGAGTCAAAACATTACTGGCTTAGAGTACCCCCAAACCATTCCTTCCTTCCTTTCAACAGTATACTTTATATATCTGTCAAAATAGAATTCTCCCACTCTCCTCTGAACTCACCATTATGTACTGCTCCCACTCCCTGCCATACTGGTATTCCTCATCATAATCCTGTCCTATTCAGCCCATTGTCAGGTTACATCCATTGCAAGAGAAAAATGGAGAATCTGGACTGGTAGGAATGCAGGTACCTTTTTCTATGTAAGATCTAACACAATTCAAACAGGATTTAGGAATGTATACTGACAACCCTAATAAATATATTGAGGGATTTCCACATCTGATCAAGGCTTTTGAAGTAATCTAGAGAGATATAACAGGAATTTTGAGTCAGACTCTAGAAAACAGAGAGAGTCATCAGGAGACAGAAACTGCTAAGGTTTGGGAGATGATCTATGTAAATATATGACTAACAGTGTATACCTGTGGGTCCTTCTGCCATTCTAATTGAGCATCCTCATTGGAATTATGATGAATCATTTGGAAGCTGGCACAGGGATCATGTGATCATTTGTCTCAAGGAAGGACTTAAAAACAGTAGGATGAAACCTATTCCATGCCATTGGCATCAATTGATAAGGAGTTGAGGTGAAATCCCATGGCTTTTGTAGAAAGATTGAAGAAAAGATTAGTAAAATATACACACTTAGATCCTATATCTCTGGAAGGGCAACTTATTTCAAAAGACAAATTTATTCTCCAATTTGCTTCAGATATTATAAATTACAAAATTGGTAGCAGGCCATAGGAATTCCCTTAAAGGTAGCCATGGAGGTCTTTTTTAAAGGAGGAAACTTTTTAAAACTTTTTTAAAGGAGGAAACTTTAAGGGACCTATGAAAAAAGAAAAGAGGAACAAGAGACCAGTTCAATTATTGACTGCAGCTCTTAATAGCCACCCCCTTTTCTCCCCACAGGACCTTTGAGCCTCTGAAGGCATCTGTCTTCATTACAGAAAGTGAAGGCACTAGAAG